CCCCTCCCGTGGCCTCCTGTTTTTCCACAGCTCCCAAAGGGAATTTGGAGGGAGGGGGAGCTGCCAGCCAGCAGGATCAGCCATCGCTGTCCCCCCTCTGTGCCTCAGTTTCCCCATTGGGCTGCTCTATGTCCCATACTGGGAGGGTGCAAGGAAGACACCCCCCCTACCTGAGGGGGTTCTCCATGGCATGGGGAGAGGGGTGTGGTCCCCAAATCCCAGCAGCCAGACAGGCATATCCATAGAAAAATAACTGGGATTGTGGGATTTTGCTGTACCATATCCGTGCCTCAGTTTCCCCATTGCCATGCTCCATGTGCTGTGCTGGGAGGGTGCAAAGAAGACACCCTCACCCCACTCGGGGGGGTCCTCTGTGGTGTGGGGAGAGGGGTACAGCCCCCCCAGACCCCAAAACTTGGCAGCCAGAGATGCATATCCATGGAAAAATAACTGGGACTGGGGGATTTTGGTGGTGCAGACTGGGGGGGACACAAAAGAATCTCAAGAGGGGCCTCAGGTGCAGCCTTGACCCCCCCTCCCCCATTTCCTTTTGCTTCTGCAGGACACCATGGTCCTGGGGGGGCCCAGCTGGTGCCTGCTGGTGGGGCTCTGTGTCCTTGTCCCCCCTGTCACCACCCAAGGGGGGCCAGAAGAGGACTCGACACCCGATGTCAGGATGGAGGAACTGGGGTACCACCTCCCTCAAGATGGGGACACCCCCCAGGACCCCCAGGGCTGTGTCATCACCTTCCACACCCCCAGCCCCTGCTCCCCCCGTGGGCCACCCCCCTCCGCCTCCGCCAGTGAGCTGGAACATCTCAAGAGCCTCTTTCAGGCCACCAAGGGCAGCCTGAAGGACCTGGAGATGGCGGCCATGCTGGAGGACAACCAGACCCACTACCAGGACATCATCACTGAGGCCCTGCCCGCCATCCACGAGGCCAACCTGGAATTTCAGGAGAGCCTGGATAACGTCCGCAGAGAGCTGGAGGCTCATGTGGCTGAGGTCGATCACCCGCGGGTGGCGGAGAAGAAGGAGAAGTAAGTGCTGTGGGGCAGGGTTGGACCACGGGAGATGTTCCACGGGGCTGATGTCCCAAATTACAAGGGTGGGAGCCAGTGTCCAGCTGTGGATACCCAGGGGGGTCTGGATGGGGGTCTGGATGGGGGGAACTGGATGTCCCCAAGGGTCCCACAGCCTTTGTGGTGACTCTCAGGTGCTGTGTGAAGTTTGGGTGCTCAGCCGTTACCCTCCGTGCGTGTGTCCCTGCCCTAAGCCCACTGCTGAGGGGTCTTCAAAGGGTGGGGGTGACAATAGGTGGCATTGTCACCCCTAAAGCAGGGGTGAGCCGAGCCACAATGTGACGCTGGAGCCAGGCTGGAGGAGGAGCAGGGGTTCCTCCTCTCCCAGGTTGCTGCAGCACCACCTTCCCTACCCTGCTGTGAGGTGATGGGTGGGGACACGGAGCCTTCTCTTGTCTCCTCCCCAGGCTGCGGCAGGATGTCCTCCTGGTGGCCCACATGCTGCGTCTCACCAGCCAGCTGGCCCAGACCCTCGAGGGCGTGTCCCACCACCTCCACTCCCAGCTGAGCCGGCGCCCACCAAGCTTGGCCGCCCACGATGTCACTGCTGAGCCCTAGGACGTGGGGGACAGGCTCCACGGTGTCACCACTGAGCTCCAGGACAGCGGGGACAGGCTCCACGCTGTCACCGCGGAGCGATGTCGTTGCCCACGCGATGCAGAACCCCATCCCTGAGCACCCCTTGCATTTCTCCTGTAGGATCTCTGCTGTCACACTGCCCAGCCTGGTGCCACCACTTGTGCCCAGCTTAGTGCCACCGTGTGTGCCCAGCTCAGTGGTGGGTCCCTCCCCTCCACAGTGTCTGTCCCCATCCCAGCAGACCCCTGCACCCTCTGCTCCTCCCTGCAGGACCCATGTCCCCCCAGCTCCCATGTCCTGCATCCCGTACCCACCCTTAATCCCCACAGGGAGCTGTGCCAGAATCTAGCTCCTGGAGCATCTCAAAGGGGCTGAAGAAATAATTCCCAGGAATTCGTGGCTGGCCTGGATCCTGGTGGTCTGGCTGCATCATCACTGGGCAGAGCTGCTGCTAGTCCCACTTCATTCTTCACCCTTGGGATTGCCTTGCTTGGCCTTGGAAGGGCCTTTGTGTCCCTGGGGTGGGACTGGTGAGGGCTGGCTCCAGAGTTTGGTATCCCAAGGATGGGAAAGGGGCAGGAAAAACCCCCAGGCAGTGGCATTTCTGCAGGTGGTGAAATGAAGATGTGTCATGCTCTGCTGGGCACTAGCCTCAGCTCCTGGGGTTCCTGCCCATCCTTGGCTGTCCCAGGGGGAATGGGGATGGATGCAGGTGGCTGCAGCCTTCACAGCCACTTCCAAAATAGTCACACCCTGAAGGGGACAGACCCACACAACATCCATGATGCTTCCCTCCCTGCCCCCCGTCCCCAGCCATTAGTCCAGCATCCAGTGCTCAGCTCCATTTTTTTTTTCTGGAAAATCAGTGTAGTTTTTCCTTTTTTTATTATCCCTTGAATTCCTCACGAGTTTAAACCAACTCGTCCTTCTCTTTCATTCCCTTCCTTTGGTGGCTCTGGATTGATCTCCTGGAGCAGACGTTGCAATTTCCAGCTGCTCCCCATCCCTCCAGCACCCAACCCTCTGTCTTTCCCCATCTCCCTAACTTTGTGGCTCCATCTGATCCCAAACTCCCTCCCTTTGGCTTTGCACCAGCAAAATGGCCGTGGGTCTGGAGAGGGAACAACCCAATATCTGCCCTGGCTTCGGCATCACTGGCTTTTGGGGTGGTGAGATGGTGGGGTGTTGGCTCTGCTGTCCTTTTCCCCATTAATTTCTGGTGTTTGGCATCCCAAAAATGTCAGGAACAGCTACAAGGATGCAGGTGGGATAGGGATTCTGCAGCGGGATGGGAAAGGAGCAGCAAACCCATGTGCCCTCCATGCCCTGGCCTGCCTTTTCATTTATGTCCCAAGGGAGAGGAAGGAACTGGTTGGGCAGATTTCCCAGGACTGGAAATTTGCAGCCATGGACTTCCTCGGCAGGAAGGTTGTACATTAAATTTCCTTTCCAGGAAGGAAAGAGAGAAGATGGTCTGGGGAGAGGGTTGGGAGGCTGGGAAGCAGCGGGGAGCTCTGGGGTTCCCATTGTCTTGCGGTCGGAGAACCCCCTCTCCTGCACTAAGTATCCCTGTCCCCATCCAAGGGGATGGACACCTGAGGTGGGAGGGGGAAGGGCTCTGCAGTGGTGGGGCTGATGCTCCATGTTGCCCTCACTTTGCTTTCCCAGTTTTGCCACTGTCCCCTCGATGGGTTTTTCTGGAGCAAGCGTGGGGGCTGCAGGGGCCAGCACAGGACCTTGCACCCCATGTCCCCCAGGGCAGGGGACATCACTGGTCCCTGGAGCTGCTTTGCCCACCAGCACGAGGCTGTGGAGCAGGGGGGGAACCCCGGGCTGGGTGGGACAGGGGGAGCAGCCTCCTGTGTTGTCCCCTGTCATGTCCCCTGCAATACCCCACGTAACTCCCCGTGCAATTCCCAGTGCAATTCCCCATGCAATGCCCTGTGCAATTCCCGATATGATTCCAAATGCAATTCCCCATGCAATGCCCTGTGCACTTCCCCATCCAATTCCCGCTGCAACGCCCCGTTCCGATCCCCGTCTCCACTTCTCCCCAGCACTTTCCCTCCCTTCCCATCTCTCTTTCCACTCCCCCACCCCCCCCTTCACCCACCAAGCCTCAAATCCCCTTCCATCTCCCACCGGTCGAGCGATCCCTTGGAAAAGAGTCCCAACCCC